TTTAATAATTGAGCAAAAAAAAAAAAGCGGGAAGGTAATACGCTTTTTATAAGGAGAAAAAGGTGACGTAATCTTAGAAACGTGTGCATTATGTTAACCAAATTCTGATAAGAAAAATACAAATATATAACGTCAGATACGCTCCATTACACAATAGGTACGGCTGGAAACAAATAATAGCTTAAGATTTATAATCGTATAATATAGCCTGTCTCTTATACACATCTAGATGTGTATAAGAGACAGGATTAGGTTTATTCTCATGCCTTACATCTCTATCATTTGTTAGGGTTGGAGTGGTTTTCTTGAGTTCCTCAATTACTTCTTGTAGTTCGTTGACTGACGATTTTAAGATTTCATTTTCGGCTTTAAGTGCATTCAGATCATTTCTAATGCATCGAGTTTCTTCTGTGATTTTCATCATAGCGTCATTTTGTTGTCCAATTAATTGAAGTGTCGCAGTAGTTGACTGTATGTTTCGACAATTGGAGCAAAACCAAGATCTTTTCGACGATGAAGCAACTCCAACGCATTGGTGATGAAATTCACTTAGGCACAGCGCACATTTTATTGGGTTTCCACCTTTACCGTTAAAGGAACATTGTTCAATACATTTCACTCTCTTTGTTGTAATTTTGGGACTAGTAATTACACTAGGATTAGATGGTCCAGGTTTAGGGGACTGTGATGGATTCATATTAAAGAAAGCTTCCTGTTGAGATCTATTCAATGGTGGTATAGATATGCAAATCAGGTGAACAATAGACTGACTTTCTGTCCAAAAAAGCACCACTAATCACATCAGCTAGGCTGTTGGGTAGGCTGAAACAATGGGTTGACTTCCTATTGGGTAGGTTTAAACAATGGGCTCACCTCCTGATGACTAACTGGATTCAAGTATGGTGGTAAGTGTGTCCGGCCAAGAAATTTTTCCGAAATTAAACTTCCAATAATGTGTAGACTATATGTCAAAACCACATAAAACGAACATCAAGATAATCAACATTCATTTTTCTTCTGCATAATGGAACTTATTCTAGACAATATCTAGCGTTTCTGATAAAAAGTAAGATATTTGTAAGAGCTGATTTGAAGATCGCGCGGTTGGCTTGATGTAGACACAAAGAAAAAAGAGAAAAACTGAGAAAACTTGGGAGATCTTACATATACATAAAGAATAATAAACCAATCAGAATCAAGTTATCAATACAATTAGTTGATTAGACCACAAAATATAAGTTCAGTGACAAGTTAATGGGCGAATTAATTACTGTACAATTAAACCATGATAAGATGTCGGCAAAATGATTATGTAAGCGATAGTTTATTGGCGGTGCCATTGAACCAGC